ATCCCCCCTGTTTTCAACCCCCAATTCGCTGCCCTCCCCCACCTGAGTTCAATTGTCGCTTGTCTTTTAATTTCAACTCACATGTGAACGCGGAGCGTCATTCCTACCCTGTCAACAGGCCCATGTCCAAGCAAACGGTTCATTCTAGTACATCGGCTTCCATTTGAAGCCATCGATCCACCTTCAGATTGGCATGCCTCCATCTTCGCACATTGCCTCAGATCGGTCAACAGGCAGCACCTGCCCGAACATTAGAGACCCTCTCCATAGATATCTGCTGCTTATCAGAGACCTGCCTGCAAGACTCGAGCTCTGTGCTCATTCTGCGATCCCCTTCAGGTGACACTAGCAGCACTTTCTCATTGCGCCTATCCGGTGGCGGTGCAGCTTTGAGCACCGGACAAGCCGGTGTTTTTATTGCTCTGAGTCCCCGGGCTGAAGCTACTCTGGTTGACTGGATTTCAATCAGTAGCCGGATGTGTGCGGTCCGATTGGCTGGCTCGTTTAAACTTTGAAGTCTCGTGTGACTAACATGTGTTTATTTGTTATCACTGCCAATGCGCCGACAAACTGTAGCTCTGACTCGGTAAAAGACGACTTCTATCGTCAACTGAACGAGCTGCTTAGCCACAGAAGAACCTCGGACACTGTAGCCCTGGCTGGGGTTCTGAACGCTCAAGTTGGAAAATTATCCACTGATGAGCTGCATCTGGGTGGCCAACATGGTGTAGACTCCCGTAATGATAACCGTGATGGTTACTTCATTTGTGTGAAGATGCTCGACTTTTTCTTGCGAACACTTATTTCCGAACATTGGATCAGCCTTTTAATGACAGCAATGTTTTGAAATTGACCTTTAGATTTAGGCTAAGGATGAACTTGCTTCACGGAAATAACAGACGAACGCAAGGCTATCGCTGAGCATAAAATGGTTCAGCTTGAAACTCAATGTCAAATTTTTAGGCGCCTTCATCGCTTCGTAGTCGATGGGGTGTTTATTTCTATAGCGATTTTTAGAGACCGAGTTGATGCCAAATGACTGTCAAATGTTTAACAAGTTATTAACTTCTCATCACGGAGACTGGTCATTGGGATGCTTTGGGATATATCATCAAAGGCTTAAAGGTCCGCTGCAGAGAAATATGTGTTGTGGCAAATAGTACAGGCGTGGAGCCTTGGTTGAAATACGCCGTTGATGACGCCGACGAAGTGGGAAAGATTTAGTTCGATCCCGCGTTCTGCAGAGGGCATGGAAGCGATTATTTATGATTCGCTGACGGACTAGTTAGTAGTGCTGGATCAGCATAGCTTCCTACAAAATTGATCTTAAACCAAAAATCTACAACTATCACGATGAAGCTGGACTGAATCAATAGACCCTCGCACAGGAGTTGATGTAGTCATTCTCGACTATACTAAAGTCATCGACCGTTAAGAACAAACATGCTGCATGTAAAAATTCTGGTCTTTGTTATTGGCGCTCTTCTCCCAAGATGGATAAGTAGCTTTCGTGTATACTGGCGCTTGGAACAACGGGTGCGTGCATACCTTTCAAATCTCATACGAGGTGAACGCAGAGTACCACAGGGATCACTTCTAAAGCCGCGAGAATTTTCCATGTATAATAACGATGGTGTAAGCCTCATCATCTGGCGCTGATTTCTTTATTCCGATGAGATCAAGTCGCGAAGAAATTGACCAATGTTCCTCAGTTGCCAGTAGAACCATTTGCACGCGTTACCGTGACACCGGAGCGCAATAAATTGCCAATCCTACAATGGTAGATGTTTGCCTGCCAAATAATCGCTCACGCAGTCACAGGGGTAGAAATGGCTGCAGTAAAGGCAGACTACCAGGTTTGCATGCCTAATTCGTCGGACAGGTCTTGTGAGGATTGTTTAAAAAACAGAACACCTAGCAAAATTTAAAAAAAGCGACAGATACATTTTCCTCAATGATGTAGCACATGAATTGGTCTTAGCAAGAACGATCCAAATGCCGCACTGAGGCAGGTAAATAACCCAGCCCAGCGATTCATGTCTGTTCGCATGGTGGCTCACAATTATTTTAATGACGAGAAACGCATCCACAAATATTCGGCGCAATAGCAACTTCTTTAGGATTTACTATTCTTAGGATTCCATCTGCGATACAGTCACACTTTGGAGCCAGGGAATTAGAGATTGAGGTCGTTGGCTGTCTAATTCCTTTAATACTAACTGGTTGTTAACGTCCTGTCCTTCTCCATATACTTGCAGCGTGTCTCATCAGACAATTCAGGTTCGGGTCTCGTCAAAGTACTTTTCTCATGAGCATTTTCTTGAGAACGGCACGCTTCATGGGTTCTTCAAAATTATAGTTTTATAAGTAACAGTTCATCACCTATCCTCTCAGTCAAACAACCATCATATGCTTGAATTACGGTGGAGGAAAAAATGTTGCCGCAAGGCTTCCTTGAAGGAGGTTATATGTGAGCAAACAATCACTAGTTTTATTTGAATGCATCAGGACCATTATTAGTATGCATCATTAGCAAAGGTGTCTGTATCTACTGTGCAGTAGGCATCCACAGAAAGTGAACTTCAAAATATTTTGCTGGATGATTTTGTTTATTCGAGACAGCAAGAGATGAAAAACGAATGGTTTATATAAATGCATTCGAAGGTACAACTCTGTCAACTCCACGAGGACAGAGGTTCACTACTGAACATTCAAACTTCGAAGGTACATAAAGCACACCTGTAATTTTTGATTACTGACCAGTCCCATTTTTGATTATATATTTTCATTTTGGAAAGTTACAACTGTTTGTCTTCTTTTTCATTTCGTCAGCAAATGGACACATTTCACTTGGCTTTGATTATGCTCTTTTCCACAATTATTCGAAGCGTAACGCACGGAAGTGATATTTGTTTATTCTCATCGTCATAATTAATTAACGCATCAACGTTGCGCTAACCAGTGCTCTCCGTCTCAGCACTATCCCAAATCCACCACTGACCCAATTTAACCACTGACTTACAATACGGACTGCTGGGATTCCTATGATTCACTATCGCGTAACATTGAGGCTATATCCACGAACCCGGTGGTAAATCATTCATGCCTATTTAAATGTATTTGTATGTAACGACGCTTTCCGGTTTCCGTTGAATCGAGCTTCGCTGATGGGAATCAAGTCGTGCGTGATACTAGGCTTACAGAGCATTTTTCCGAACTCGTGCTCCATGTAATTAATTATCTACAAACAATAAAACACTACTTGCGCTCACAAGTGGCCCCTGCAGGATGTACATTATAAACAACGTAGACCTACTATCCGCGCACTTAATTTTCCACAGCAAACTGATAGTAGAATGCTAATCACATGCAAAACTATCAACATTTAAAATGATTGGACCAAAAATATACAGGTTTGGTAGCACTAATTAATGGTGGCCTTATTTGTGAATAAATTGCAATTGGTATTCGCTGTCCCCGTTTGACTACATAAATAAAACTGCCGTGTTAGATTCAAGTTGAATTTATGGTGTCCCTTTGGCAAACTTGCAATTTTTCCTTGTGACCTTGCGCTGAACTGCGTCAGTCAACGCAAACAATAATTTTCAAATCACCCCAAATGGATGTGCTTCTGTGGTGGAGTGAGAACGGGTGTGTTTTAGAAATGAGTTAGCGAAATGTGCAGCAACTTATAGCGTAGTTGCCAAAGCTCAAACTGAAGGCGACGTTAGCACGCCCTAAGCAGTACCCTTTTACAACGCATTTAGGTACGGTTTTGCACACCCATCCAATGTCAGGTACCTCACTGTGCCACACTCAAATCGGATTGTGTGGAGAAATATCATGTTGAAACTAGTCGTAGAATAACGGTGGTTGGTGGTTTCATCGGTCAATCAGGCCATAGTCAAAACAGTGCCTGTTGGTGTGTCTATCATGAAAACCGATTTTATAAAGCGTCTAGCTGACCCAACCGGTCATATTGTTCAGTGGCCAAAATGGTGCTTGAAGTGGTGGTTTTCCTCCTTCTGATAGGTGAGTTTCCCAGTCTATTTGCCTTAGAGAAATTGGTGGTCATTTATTAAATTATGTTGTTTATGCTGGCGAAACAGTCCCATGAATATTAATTGGTTAAGGACATAAGTGCAACCAGTGTACTCTGTTTGGGCGCGGCTATCACTATATTCATTAACTCATGCTCTAATTAAACAAATCGCATGTATACGAATTTTTACAAATGAAAACGGGCTCTTACACTAATGTCTCACTGAAGTATGCAGCTGAGAGTGTCGTTTAGCTAATTACCAGAAGCGAGTGGTTATATTTGCAGTTAGTTAGTTAAACGTTGTCTTTAAGAAACTGCCAAATAGTATAGTTTGATGAGGACTATCTCAGGCAAATGCAGGTCAAATTTATACTTGGCAGTTAGCAAACAATTGTACATGCTAGGTGTCTGTAATTCCAACGAAGTTAGAAACGTGTTATTCCACGTGTGGAACGCAACCTGTATCCGTTAACACAAAGTAATTTTTAGTTTACACAGTGTAAACGCTGCTCAGCGATTCGCGCAACGTGTTAACTGACAAAGTGATTGCAACAAATGTCAGCAGATATTTTTTCTACATGCGTCTTCATAACAACTGCGAAATATGCGTAACTAAAAAACACATATTTTACAAATACACTCAAGTATCCCATATATTCTTATCAGATGCTGTTAAAATATTCGGTGAACCCCACTACTCGTACGGTAAGTAAAATAATCGTGTCTTTGTAGCTTTGAATTAAATTGTGTAAAAACGCATCATTTGTACCATTTTATGTAACTGCTAATTTCAACAAGATTTTGCTTTCCTATCTGACCTTCTCGAAGACTTATATACAAGGCAAAGAGCCGTCGTGCCAAGATGAGTTTTGCTTATTTTTAACAAACGTTCAACTATACTTAATGCCTTTTATTAGATGTAAAAGTGAAGGGTTACATTCTCAAGCATGGCAAGAATATGACTTGGAATGATGAACTGAAATTGGAGGGCAACGCGGAAAGTTTACAAATTCAAACGGATTGTTGCAAACTCGTGAGTGAGGAAAAGCATAATTTATATTGCTTTAACATTTTCGATGTCAGCTCCGGTGACAGCGACGCTGGATTTCCTAAGTGGATGTTCATCCCTGTTTATTTCTGATATTATTAGTTCATGAATTTTGAATCTGCATTTCGGCTCTCAATTCCTGCATGGAACTATCAAGTTGAGTAACACACTCTGAAATAATGTTTCAGTTGACAACAACTTTGGCATCTGCAACCTGCGTGTCTCAAAACGCGATGAAATGTGACATGACCAAACTAAGTGGAAATCCAGCTGGTGGATACATGACAGTAGTGTTCAAAATTGGTGAAGTCCAGAATAAAACGAGAGGCATTAATGAAGTGATTACAAAACTACGTCAAAATGTTGCGAAAGGCGCGAAAGAAAACGAAGTGAAACCGGGACCAGTGGTGGGTGCAGTCCGCAAACATGTTGGTAAGCTAATACATATTGTGCCTATTATCATCAGGTTTCATGAAAAACAGTTTTTTATTAACAGCAACATACCCTTGTCTCTACTTATACGTCAACTTACCATAACGGTTGGAGCACAGTATGTAATGCCGATGGAGTTAAAATCATTTGCCTACATTTTGATGAAATGTAGGATAAACAGCAAATAAATTACGCTTGCACTGATAAAAACAGCACAAATAAACAGAAAACGTGTAGGTCATTTTTGAAGGAATCCTTATGGGAATGGTTTACATAACGCCTTCTCAATTGAGACAGTGCTTCAACTTGGAAGGTACTTATTCAACAACTGAATAAATAAAACAAATGATGCAGTTAACATGTGACTTTTAAAACAGGAAAATTTGGTCCGCTTTTGTTTTGAAAGTACTACACGGTCATTGTTGGGTTTAATAACATTGTTAAGTGATTCGTTCATGAGTACTAGGTTTCTGATGATACAAAAATCTTGACTGATTCGGTAATCTACTCTTAAGTAAGTTTTTTATATATACAACGGTCAAGGATAAAACTTAAGGGGATACTTTGGGCATAAAAACAAAACCTACACAGAACAAATGCTACACATCATATTGGTAAGAATGGCCACTGTTTATATGCCAAACAATTACAAAACAATTCTTTAAGCTTTTCCTTACATACATAGACAAATTTCTTAATAATTTTTCTTCGAGTTTCACAGGCCTTCATTCATGGTTGAACATCCTCGTTACTAGAAACATGTAAAGATAATTTTAGTCTGTGATCAGTTACAGCACTGCTAGAGGGCAAGCAATCGGCTACTCTATTATACATTTTGGCGGCCGAGGCAGGTTCTGGTTCAGCAAAAGGCACTGTTCCAGCAACAGCCAAATCGGAGGGTCCTAAGACCCATTTTCGTGTCTGGATGTACATAGGTTTTATGCGCTGCGATCAATTTTCCTTGTAAATGGCAAAGCGTATTTCTCGCAGTTCTTGCTTGAATACCTCAGAAATGGAGTTTCTGATTCTCACTGCAACATTACATGTTCCATTGGAATTTTGTTTAGCAAGTCGGGAGATTTATTGGTTAACTGCCGGTTATTTTTAGCCCAGACCGCAATTTTACTGCAGTAACTTTTATTCTGGTACTTAGAATCTGTTTGAACATCATCGGCTAAATATCCCTCTGGATGGATTCGGCTCTTTTGCCACGGCAGTTTCTATATCTTATTATTGATGTTCTTCCATGAGTATTCATAGGCGGAGTGAATGCTACAACTAAGGCTGGCAAAGTTGGGTTGAGTTAGATGGTAGAGAACAAAAAGCAATATTGTTATTATTGCAGTGTACCAATGTCAAGAGTAAACCGCAAGCTGAGTTTGTCACCCAAAAGGGTACAACGACCATTATTTCTGCAACAGATTGGTAGCGTCGATTGCCAACTCTGGTCTAAAAAGCAGGTTTAGTCAAACCATCCCGACCTTCAGCTGTTATGTGCCTGAGGAACCATTCTCGGTAAAACTGTCCCAAAGCTTTTCGACTTCGTACACTGCATATGATGTTAGTAGCTCTCCATCAGCGGTGTCAGCAAACAACAGGTTAATTGCTGGCTTCCGCGAGTTTGTAAGCCGCTGGGGATAATTGGCATCATTTTTAACGATTAATTTATCCGCCCACAATCGTCAAACAGCTTAAGTTGCTGGTTAGTATTGCTTGACGGTGGAATATATTACATAATTTTATTTTGTCAAAGTACTCAGAAGTTTGTTCTGACAAAGGCGCCTTGGTTTTTAAGATGTTTTGGCATAATCTTAATGTGTCTCTGTGTCTTTTTATAAAATATCCAAGCCAGTATTTGGCAGACTAATTGCCTTTAAACATAAAGATAACTCTTATTTGACGGTTTAGTTAAGCTTCAATAAGCCTGATGACGTCACGCCTCTCAAAGGGTAATCCTCAGCGTGATGTGACTATTAAATAATCAGCAATGCACTCTGCCTCTTGCACACTAAAGACTGGTGGCCTTCCTAGTTTATTAAAATGATTGTTTTTTATTTGTTCTGTAGCGTGCTCCTCGGTATGCCGAGTTCTTTACAAACATCAAGCTAGCCATGGCCACTTTGAATCAAATTAACGGCCTGCTGACATTTTGCAACGTCACATGAACTGTATTTTCTAGACGCAGGCGTCAATTAGTCGGTTCTATGCATCGTAAAAATGTGTTGTATCTTGGAATGAGAAAACAAAATTAATTTACCTTCCTTGGCGCCTGAGTTACTGTAGCTTATATATAATGTAGTTTAAGGTAAGGATCAAATTTCGCCACTAGAAACCATGTAAGGTTCCACAGTCCTTATTATGCTTTACATGTAATATTATACTTAAGGATAGCCGGTCATGCATTCATATTTTTATCTATATTTCTATAACTAGCATTCATTGACCGTTATAAATGTGCCAATTTATATTACACCGTTGACAGTAACGACAGCTTTTTTGCACTTGCGAAAACTAAACATTGTATTTCATCAGATTTTGCTTAATGGTGTTGCTTTGGCCAACTGGCAAAACTTACCCACAAATAACGAAGATACTTGAGGTAACATTGGCCACTAATGCAAAATTATAATGCGATAAATGTATTTGGATAACCTCAAATATACTTAATTTTACTTAATCACAAAGTGAGAACGCTAGTGGTCATACTTACACTTTCTTCGAAACTCCATTCACATTTGAAAGTATACCGTATCTTTAACACAGATAATGACACCCGCCGTCATTGACACTATACTCAGGACTCAACATTCCAGTTCAGCATTAAATTATTGTAGATTAATGGAAACAGAATTTTAAACACATAAAACTCATTTACTCACACACAAAATAATAAAAATAAATGTAACCTAAGTTTCTTTAATTTTCTCAAATATACTAAATTTTTGCCCTGATCGACTACGTTGACCCCATTTACGGTATATCTCCTTATCGACAACGGATGTAAAGGGAATACAACAAAATATTCTCTCCATTTCCTTCCATGCAGTTACCACGGACCAGGTTGGAAACACAGGCAAGTCATCCGGACAACTTAAACCATTTTATCGACAACTACAGTTAATTGTAATCGTAATTGATAACCGATTGCCAGCTCCATTTCATTTGTACGGTTACCTTTGTTAAACGCAGACTTGAGTTTGGTGCTGCAGTTAGCTTTATACGAAAACTGGTAAACCCTAGCGCACACAGAGGAATGAAGAAGCCTTTGAAGGTGTTCTATCGTGAAAGATTAAATGATGCGCAATTATGTCACGCTTACTTTGTAAACGTACCTTTTCATGCAAATAATGGGCCGAAAATACGATGCAAATCATCCACGAACCTGATCGTAATGGACCCTTGGTGTGATCTAGCCCAAAGGTAGACTAATCTTTGTGATGCCGAAATCTTACTATTCACGATTGTCGGAATCCACTACGCATAAAGTACATATATCTTCCTTCAAGTTGTTTGGAAGACGAAAACATATTGTAATTACCCGGCTTTCTATCTTTCTTGCAGTTGTTCGTTTTAAAATAGACATTTTGGAAAACGGTCAGTTTAGTGAATGGCGAAGTGCTTACGACAATGTTGCTGAGCTGAAAAAGATTGAAAGCAGTATTTGCCCAAGGGTAAGACAGCTAGACTGTATTGAATCTAGCAATTGGACCAGCTCAATTCTCTTCATATATAGTTGACCATTTGTCCGTTGTGAAGGCAAGTATAGGTGCTTTTTTCGAGCCTTTTTAGCTAACTGACCAGGAATGGGATTTTGATATTAATAGTATAACCCATCTGATTACCTTGTTGACAGACTAGATAGTAGGCAGCTGCCAGCATAAGTAATTTTAGAACTTTAGGGTGCATTTTACCTTTTAATGAACTATCAATGGACGAACAAGTATTTGATGCACCATTGAAAATAATATACGCGCACATAATGTAGAAATTTCACATGCAGAAATGTAGTTTATTGTTTAAGGGTAGATGTTTTCTCCATATTGAATATGTGCGTTCGCTTTAGCAAGCCACTTTCTTAAGGTATCATGGGAACACTATTCTCACAGCTTTACTCTTATGAATTATTATACACAAGTGTCACATGTGACGTGCGGCCAAAACCGTGGTGCCTCCGGACTAGTGGACAACACTAGCAAGCTACGATGACTGCAGTTTTTATGTTAAGTTAGCTTCAGAAAGCGAACAATACACTTCGATGATGGGGAATTAACAGTTGTATCATGGACACATATAAAGGAGAACATTAGTATGAACAATGAACAATGATTTAAAACGGGTAAAACAGCAGGTGTTTGACAAGTCCCGTGGGGTGGTTAGAGCGAGAATGGTCGCTTCGGGCGAGTATAGATTTAACTGCACTGCCGTATAAAGCGAGTTTGAAATTAGAATGTGCGCACACAAAGCAAGAAGGGGAGTGGTTATTGATCACGTAATAAGCTAGTAAAAATTAAAAACGCAAGTACAGCGCCTACTCGTGTGCAGCTATCACGGGTCGACGGGATACAGAAATCCAGTTTCTACAGTAGTAGCGTTTATCAAATTGTGTGCAAAGGGTTTGGAGTGACTCATTTTCGAGTAGGGTTATAGCACTGTCCACTGTCTGTTGTGCATTAGTGCCAGCATCTGGTAGTCATGGGCTATACAACATAGTGTAAATGTGACAGAGTATCGCCATGGCGTTGTTTGAAAAGGGATAGGGTGGGAGCATTAAGTACCTGTTCCGGAAGGGCGTTCCAAGGCTGTGACACTCGAAGGGAGAAAAGGTTTCGCCGACATTCCAGGCGGCTGTACTGCGTGACCAGCTTAAACTGATGACCTCTTAGCGGGGTGTTTTGACTGAGTATCAGAAGGGAATGGCATGGGTGGTTGGGGTTTTCCAGGATCTGGTACACCCTTATGAGATCGCCCCTTAGATGCCGATAACGTCCACTGTATATTTTGTGAGTCTTCAGCCTGAGTGGGTAGGGGAGGCTGTTCAAACCTCTGACGCTCTTCGTCGGCGTACGTTGTGTAGTATCTAGCGAGGTGAGATGGTGCTTTAGCCAGGGTTGCCAAGCTTGAATAGCGCATTTCGCGCATGGCCTCACGTACGCACCAAGCATTTTTGGAAAGACTGAAGTGTTAAAATTCCCGAAAGATCTGCGAAGAAGGCCGAGGTACTGGTTTGCTTTCTTAGATGCCCTTTTAGTCAACCTCAAACAGCCGAGGTCAACTTGAACTAGCACGACGAGATCGCACTCATGAGAAGCCCGCTGTAGAATTTGTGATCCTAGGCGGTACTTGTGCATACTCTTGTGCCGTATACTGAGAACTTTGCACTTGGTGGCGTTGAAATGCAGCATGTTCTCGATGGACCATGTGTACGCGTTGTCCAAGTCCTCCTGCAAAGCTGTGTGGTTCTCCACTGCAGCTATAGTGCGCCATACCTTTAGATCATTAGCAAATAGCAAACAGTTAGAAGATAGCACGCTCTCGAGATCATTTATGAAAACCAGGAGCAGGCGGGGTCCAAGTACCAAGCCCTGCGGTACACCGCACTGAACTTCGATGGATTCCGATATGTTGCTTCGAACCCACACATTCAGGCGACGTTGCAAGAGAAAGTCTCCTACCAAGCCCAGCCCAGAACAGGATCACCGATTCCATATTTCTGGAGTTTGTGGAGGAGAATACGATGGTCTAGAAGGTTGAATGCTTTTGACAAATCTACGTAGGCCGCATCGACTCTTACACCAGCGTCCACAGATGCTGTCCAGCTTGCATAAACAATCAAAATATTAGTGGTATAGGACCGAATTTGACGAAATCCGTGCTGCTTCGGAACGAGAATTTTGTTGTTCTCCACGTACCTTATCAAAGCCATAGCTACATTGGACTTCATAACCTTGGAGATCACAGGAAGTAGTGTTATCGGGCGATGATTTGCTGGTTAAGCATGGCTATCATTTTCGTAGATTGGCGTGCTGATCCTGTGCTTCCACATCGTAGGGAAGTGCATCTCTTTTAGACCTCGATGGAAGAAAATTGCCGCTGGCGCCGCAAAGCTCATGGCAGCAAGTTTCAAGGACTTCGGTCGAATGCCATCCGATCGCGGGGAGCTGAACTCGCCTAGAGACATCAGCACTTTCAGTACAGCTGCGGAGGTAAACGATATGTGATTAAACCCTGAAGGCAGCATTATCTGATTAGGCAGGGTGTATGATGATTGCACGCTTTGGAAGGTATGGCCAAATTGTTGTCCAAAACCTTTGGCTGCCTCTTGTGCAGCTTGGGCTAACCCGCATGCTGTGTGCATAGTAGGAATATTGCGCTTAACACGGGCGCAAATTATTTACGTTTTTGTATAGCAGTTTGGGATTGGAGCAAAACTTTTTCATCAGATTTTTTGGCTCTTCAGTTTATCCTCCCGGACGAGTTTGACACAGTGCTTCTTTTGTATTGCGTAGGCATCTTAGGTGTCGTCGTTCTGGGAGGCTATGTAGGTGCGCTGTGCCAAGTCCTTTAACGTCACGCAGTTACGCCTCTTGCTGCTTACAAATGAATTCATCCTTTTAGGCCGGTAGCGTTTGGTTTCAGATATGCTTGCCATACGCTTGTTAAATATGTTGACGAATTATCCACAGGCCACCTCAGAGGTCAATTCGGCTAAAAACGGCCAGGTTGTTGCATGAGTGAGTTTGGGCTGGTCGCCATAGTTGGTTACGACATGCTATTCATCGGCATGCTCTCTAGGATAATCCCCGTGTCAGTGGTAATGAAATACTAGCGTCGCATGTTTGTTGCGGTCCAGATGAGTTCTGGTTATCAGTCTCACGACCGTCAGTTCTTCATTAGTGAATTTGCGGTCCAATATGCATGGCTTGTTAGTTCACGTGAATCCGGTGGGCGTAGTGACTTGGCCAAAAAGCGAGAAGTCTGAAACATGCTCCTGCAGGTCTGCTTTGAATTGCCGTACTGGTGTGGCCTGGGATTCTAGAGCATAAATGTTGAAGTATCCGGTGACTAGAATGCGGCTGTATTTCCTGTTTGTCACTTGCCTCAACGCAACTATCGAGCTGCAGGTGTAAACGATGGTGGGCCTTAAAAAGCAACCAATAGGCATAGATCGTTCCCACTCAGTCAGAAATTACACCAAACGGAGTAAGGTAAGTCGGTTTCCGAATCGTTTATGTGTTCGCATTGCCGACTATTACAAAAGTAGGGGGGCTAATCCACCACCTTTGCTTGCTCGATCCTTCCGGACAACAGACATGTCTGTTAGCGCGATCTCGGCATCTGTTATCTCACAGCGCAACCACGTTTCGTTGACAATGATGATGTCCCACACTGCTGACGCGTGTCGAAGCGTAATTCAGCTCATTTGCAGAGTAGAACTTGGACATTTGTGTAAATGCATGGGAACTTCTCCGAGACCAGAAGTGTGTTAAATTGGATGAATAAAGCCAGTGAGTTTACACCGACTAATAAAGGGTCGGCCTCTAAACGTTTTTTTGGATGGATTGCAGACTGTCGAGACGAATTTGATATATTAGCAGGTATCATATGCCCCGGATCCCGGTGTTTGCTGGTGCTCTGCTGTGTCCCTCCGGATATTATGGTTACTCTTGAAACCGTTCCCGAGTCTTCCCTGCAGTTGGACTTTTCATTAGCAGTTGTGCCTCTACTGAAGTGTCATTAGAAGGTTCTGGTTTTCCCGCTGCTTTCAGACGAATTTCTGTTGGCAACCAGCAAAGGAACTTAATCCAGTTTGCTAGTAGGGTTTGTGCCATTAGCTCTGACTGTAACGCAGGTTGTAACAGTCTGGGACCGCAACCCGTATTGTTTGGTGATAGGAGAATTCTTTCCAACGAGGTGACCACGACATTTTTGAGCGAAAGAGCCTCCCGGATGTTGTGCCATGGCTCGCGGTCGTGCATCTGATTATCGTAGAAAAGGAATCTGTAAGTTCAGGAACACCGTGAGAGGTTGACTGTTTTCTTATCTTGAGTATTTCTGTACCTCACTCAGTTACAGGGATCCGCTGAACGTTCTTTCCACCGGGTTTCAGGTAGTATGCGCACTCCACTTGAGTCGTTGCGGAGACCATTCACCGACAGCAGACCCGTCTCTGTCTCGTCCGCAGAGTTCAGTATTACGCTAAATAACCGGGGATTCGCCTAGTGTGACTCGTTTGGGTGACGCGAGATTCGTTTTAATGTCGTGGGATTAGTGTAGACACCGATCGACGTGCAGATGTAACTCCATTGATTCGATCGTCCGTCAACCTACCCTTAATTGTATTGGATTTTGATTCAGGGACAATAATGCACACAGTGGTTGCGCCCGGTGTCTAATGCTTTTGGATTTTGAGTCTTGGTATCCGGTGTTTTTGGTGAAATTGTGAACGGAAATGATTGGGGCTTTGCGTGCTACGACACATTAGTTTTCTCTAGTCCGGGCACAAAGGTTACTGGTGCTCTTTCCGGTGTTTTCTTGGTGACAACCGATGCGTACATTGCCGGGTTGTTCACTATGGCTGGTTGACGGAAGCTTACGGTACCCTGTGTAGTGAACAATCTAATATGTGCAACACACTGTACATAGGTTGAGTCAGGCGCGCTACAGGCCAGGCTTTTAATTATAGGAGTGAGCGAGAATGTAGTTTTTATTAATGGATGCAGAGTCTTTGGGGTTAGGTTGGGACGCCTGGCTCTTTTCTTCGGCATGACTAGGTAATTCGGGGTGTTATCTTCACATAGAAATGCAGGCGCGTTTCTTCATATGGGTATAACCCTGGCGCTCACCAGTTGCTCGACTGTTTCTATTAGTGTTTCTTACTTCCTCAGTAGCACACCTAGACAGCTAACAACCGGGAAAAATTGCATACTAGGCAGAACATAAACCCCTCTGATGTGTTAGTGTATCGTTTTGTTTTCCTTGACCCCTTCCCAAGGCAAGCAGGTGATAGGATTTCAAACGCATGGTACACACAAGACCCAATTTTACCACTTTTGCACATGATTAGCTTTTGCTCTTCATAGGCGACATGTTCACAGTAGGCGTGCTGTTTTAAGATCACGCGGTTGGCACTTTAGCTTCCTGCGTCAAAGTAAATGTGAGTCAGCGTGGCGCGCTGGCTGTCCTTAGTGTTCTTGTGTATTGTACGCAAGCCGGTTTATCGATCGATGTGGCGTCCGGTTGGTTTGGGACCCGGAAAATGAAACTACAAAATGGTGGAAACAGATCGCGAGGTCACAAACTCCTTCACGGATCCCTTGAGAAACATTGGATTGGAATAGGCTTAGGCTTTTCTGACTGTCTAGAGAATTCTGTATCGAATGCTAGTAAACAGAAGGGCAATGGGCACAAAGTGAATGAGGTATCCGCTTGTGTTCAATGACAATGAAATCGGTGAGTGCTGGTTAAAATTTAATAGTATAATATAATTCCAGGTATGTTAGCTGTGTAGCGCTGGTAAATCCGCTTCGAATGAGCGTGTGGTGACTACGCTGCGAGAAGATAGAAGTTAGGGTGGATCATTCCAATTTAACCGAGATCACGCACATCAAGCTTGCGGTCCACATGATAAATATATCCATGGTGTGGATTTATTTTGATCCATTAGTCTTAATTGTACTTACACGTGAACTACTTAGACTTGTTTGACTAACCAAACATAAGTGCGCACGATGCTTACATCGAAACAAATAATGGACAGTTGGGACAAAAGCAAGTTCTTTGATAGAGGAAAAATAATACAAATATAGATTCTGTCGTTTACTATTATCTTCTGTTAGTCGTTGGCCAGGCACTACATCGTTTTGGTTGCTTACACAAGCCAAACTTTCTGCCATCCCGAGAAAGATGGACGGAATCTTTCGAGGGCAGACCAGGAGTTGACATCGTTTACTCGGACATATCTACAACTTTCCATCTCCTGAATCACCACATTCTTGGTCCTGCGCTTCGATAACGTGTTATAAGTGGCGCTGCCCTAATTTGGATACGTAAATCTCTCATTCAACAACAGTATGTTAGATCCAGCATTGTCATTTCTGACTGAAACACAGAGCAGTGAGGTAGACCCCAAGGGTTATTTCAGGACTACGTTCATTTCTTGTCTTCAGCAAGGAGAACCCTAGATTATTCCTGTCCAAATACTACAACTCAAAGTAGCTTAAGTTCACATGGGACAGCATGATGATGCATGATCACATGGTACTGCGAGACATGGCAATGAAGCCAAATGTGGGCATTCGAAAACTGACTCCAGTTTGACATGGTACACGCATTATCACGGTGCCGACATAACTTTGGTAACAGGAGTTGAAACCTGCTACGCAGAAAAGCAATCTCAAAACAATTGTGCAGAAGGAGCTGAGTTGCTCGGAAAAGGCAAGCAACATGTTGGAGGATAATATTCAGCAACTTGCCTCCTTATTGTTTGTTTTATAATAAATTACGTATGAACCTGTAATAAATGCAAACGTCTCCGTAGAATCAAATTCTGTATAGGATAGCCAAGACCTTATTTTTTAGTCCTAAATGCGACCTCGGTGAGATATAATGAAGATATTTAATGTGGTTACTGGTAAATATGTGATGGGCAAACATAACATGCTTGTTATATTCACCATTAAGAACTTAGCACATCGATCAAAGGCTTCTTTTGTAGAAGAGCAAGCAACTAGTAAATATAATGTTCTCCCCATAATTTCCGTCCTAACTTACCCGATTTATGATTCATGCCATTTATCAATACATAGTTTGGGAGCATTATTCTCTGTAGAAAATATGCATTTACACTTACCAAGTGTTATTTATTTGCCAAAATATAAGTATACGTCAGTTAATTATACGGAGCAGCATTGTCACTTATACCACTCCTTTACACAGCTGCTTCTTTGGGGGCGACTGTACAACTTGACAAAAGACGCGCCGTTTTTTGCAAGATTACCGGTCCGACTCGAAGATATGCAGTCGGGAATTTTCACATACATTTCATTCGAAAAGGAAAAATCGCCTTTGATTTTACAAGCTTACTGAAAACAACAAGTGAGGCAGAAGAAAGTATCTACAATGTGAAGGTTATAAATTCTAGCTTCCGTAAGTGACAGGAAACAACGCTATTGAAGTTCATGTACTCTAACATGTTTTCATAAGTTATGTTGTCAAAATGCATTCAGGCGATAGTAGGATATGGGTCAATTGTTAACCCACATTATTTTTCAGGTACCACACCAGTCGACCTTGATCCAAGTGAGTTCTATCTCCGACGACTTCGCTGCTGTTTTCGAGGTGTTGCACCTAATAATCGCTTAGTCAAACTTCTTATAACTCAAATTAAATGAGGTATAAGCAAAGAATTTAACGCATTCCATCCAGGTGTAGGCCTGTTGGAATAGAACACTACTGCAAGGAACGGGATTTAATCGAACTAATTCGTGGTTGCCGATGAATTACTATAAGTGCGTCGCACGATGCGGGTGTGGGGGACGGATGAAAGCAAGTTAGTAATTGCTAACAGACACAAAACCTGGCTGATCTGAAAATAGCAATGTTATTTACACATGTGTCTAATTGAAGTGTAAACCAGAACCAAACACCTACAGTGGGCTTTCTTATGCAAAGCTCCGTAAGCGGCGCGCTGCCAATGTCCTTAGAAGCTGTGAAGCTGAATCGTTGAATAATGGCATTTATGGAAAACTGAACGAGCGCCTTTGCCATAAAACAATTACATAAGTTGTAGTGCTGGCTGGCAACACAAATGCCCAGATTGGAGAGTTATCCGCTGAAGAATTGCATATGGGTCCCAACAAACCATAGGTTCATCTGATAGTACCGGTAATTGGTTGTTGCACGTATATGAAGAAGCTTGTCTCTTCGCAAGCCCTAACCTACGGCACAGTACTAACCAAAATATGACATGGCGAACTCCAGTTTCGGGCTGGCTGTGGACGCAACCGAACAAATATTTGGATAATCTTTGAAGCGGAAGCGTAGGGAATTGTCGTCTGTGCAGAGTACAAGAGTGAACTCCGACTATGCACTTGTATTTGCTGACCACAGTGCCATTCCGTGGCCGATCGCGCCATCGCTGTGAGCGCATAGACAGCTGTCAAATAACGAAGCCAACAGTTTTGAAACATAACAACTTACTTTGGCATGATGAATGTATGTACGCTGAATGAGAGGTTGATGGTCATTTGTCACACGTTTGCTGGAGGTGAATAGTAGTTTTTATGTCCTTATATCTGACTACTAAACAGTATTGGGGTCCTTACGTAGTCTTCGTAAATTCGTTATGCTTCCGGACACATCCAAGCTCGAAACTCTCTCACAGCTAAATTGCGGAACCAAGAGGTAAAATGAAACTTTTAGGTCTCATGTTGCGTCCGAGATGAAAACGACTATTTGATTGACAACCAACAGTGATCGTTCCGTCTCAAACATGAAATGAGCGACAGAAACGGTAGTAGTAGCGAATATGTGCGAGGACATTTACCAACATTTGGAACACTATAAAATAACGTATGGTTGGAACGGACAAATGTAATGTACACAAATGACCCACAACTACCAGTTTGACTGTCGGTCGATGGTAGCCCTGTATATACATTATCGATAAGCCCTCGTGTAAGTAATTCGAATGCAAGATCGGACAGAAGTAAACAGAAGATTGCGTGAACAGACGCAATTTGGAAGACGGGCTCAAAATTCCTTGGGCTTGCTTAGTTATATGAGTGACATACAATACTATTGAGCTTGCAAGAGTGGGAAACATTTCCATAACAATAGCCCTATTTTAAATAGTGCGCGCTTTAAAAACGCAGCCATCTGAGAGGAATAATTCTGATCTGCTGTACTTTGTAGATGGTTTAACATCAGAAAAAGGCAGACTCGAGGGCGGGGAACGTGGTTTTAAGTCGGATTGACATTTTATGGGCCACATCCAACTTGATGACTATCGTTGAATCTCCTCCAAGTATAACACCGACCTGCCATAGCCGTGTTCATTCATGTGGACATGCATTAACACCCTTATATTGATATTCCCTAAGACTGTTTGATCAAAGATAACTAGCACGAGATACACGTAAATAGTATTATAATGATGTATACCTGATTTCGACTGGAGAGTGCAATAGGATGACAATCTTCTATTGTCCTTCACGGCATTGGGCATTTGCATTTGCAAGTTAGCCATGTCAATTGGACACAACATGGACGATGTGTGCGGTTTCCAGACGATCGACTTTGTGACTTGTAGCGTACTAAATGTTGTACCTTAATCTGTGTGATCCAAAAATCTGCAGAGCGTCAATATGCATACCAGCCATAGCTGTAAATCAGGACGGGATAGGTTATGCGTTTTTAAAATACGCAACTTTTCTTCATTTTGCTCAGACAACGTGGTGCGCTGATCCTTTATAAGAGTCAGTTAGAAGTCGTTTGTCATCCATCTGCTTGGGCGGTTATGGCGACAAATGTAGAACAACACATAAGGTCAAGAACCGCATAGCATAAGCTAGAAGTATTTATTCTAAGTTTGTTAATTGTAGTAACACCTCAAAGTCACCTCAGTTCTGTAATGCATTCTATGCAAAGCTGCCGTGCTTTGAATGCCAAAATGTTCAACCATAAAGAAGGACATCACGTCCATTTGACTGCTGATGTCTTCGCCGCTTATCTCAAATTCGTAGGCAATACTCATGGGCAACGAACGCGTTTGCCTTTCGATTTTGAAGTGAATCGCACAAGTCCCTTAGTTCACGCATCAGCCTCCAATGGTTGTGCCGTATGCAAAACAACACAATAATCATTACTAAACGAAGTGCATGAGTTGCTTGAGCAAGGTATGCGCGTGATAAAGGGGGAGTGGAAGCAGGGTAATGAATTGGTTAAGAGAATTGTAAGCTGTCACTTCGAACTTAGCTGTTGTTACTGCTTCCAGAAGCGTTGTGGAATCCCGAAAGACAAAGAGCACCTTTGGTTGTAGGCACTTATTCACACGCTAAAGCGTTGGTCATCGTGGCTTAAGTGTCACATGTTCCTTTGTATATTTCCAATAGGTTTAACCTCATCCTTCTCAGTACAATCTCTTTCCTGATACCGAATATCAAGCAATTAATGACATGTTTAATCTGTTTAGATTTTTGTTTCCTTGTTTATGGACACCGTGCATTTTCAATGTAAATGCGATGTTCCTCACCTCCAGTTGAAGTACACATTGTTAGTCAGTTAATACTGCCATTGCAATCAGTCTACAGCTGGCACGGATTTGAGCTCCGAAGATTTGCTTACCTGGTATTTCTATCTAAATCACATTCGTGACAAAGCTTTGACATACTTGTGGTAGAAAGTAGGCAATGTGTATAATTATTGGTCAAGACTTCAGTTGGAGTAAACTGTGCATTACAAACCGAACAGGGCATATTTCACTGAAGCAAAAACACCAAGGATTCGTCCTAGGTTAGTCTTCCAAAACAGAATATGTGGCACTTCAAATAACGCATACGAAAGCCCTGTCATCCTTGTCGCTGCGTGCAGCTCTAAACAACCGACCACACTGCGTGCTCTACCAACTCACCTCATGATATGTTTTTATAATTGGAAAGCGAAATCTCTGTTCATAGATTTTCGCTGTACTTAAGCTAGTGTAATTTAAACACCGTCGTGCGATTTCCGCATGCAGACTTAACATGGATAATGTTGCCCAGACATGAAGCATGCTGTTAACAATTCTACCTGTTATCAAACAGCTAAATCATAGAAACGGACCAGGTAAACAAAAAACTGAGACCGAACTTAACTATTAATTAAGACAATTATTTTAGCTTACTAGTACACAGAAAGCAAGAGCAGTTTACAGCAGAAAAACTAAAAGGACCTCATTAACATTGTAACATGCAAGTTATACAAACCTCGAATAAATAAATAAAGAATAAAGAATAAATAAAAAATAAGTAAAGAATAAATAAAGATGGGTGCCTCGCTCATTGATACTTCACAACGGTGTAGGTCACAACCACACCAAAGTTTTCTTTTATAACTTAATTTGAGACACCTCTTCATGCTGTGTATAGAAGGAAAATTTGTTGGGAGTACTACATGGTACCGCTTCAGTGTAAATAGTTTATTGTCATTTAAACTGCTTCTGCTTGGTGCATGCGCCTTCATACTCTCTAGTGGACATTCATTCTTATGATGAACTGTGTCTTTTGGTTTACATAACCTACCGTTTGCTTTAACCAAATCAGGATACGAACCACATCTTTACATAAACTGACCGTGTTTCTTGTGTCCGCTTGAAATCCTCAAACCCTTGGCCACTATTGTTCCGCCTGTATTAATTTGGAGATTGTACATTGTTTAACACAGCATAAATGATAATTTTTAAAAATACATCCCTTTGCGCAAAACTTACCTTTTTGCATTATTGCATATATTTAGTCCTTTTAGCTTGTCTTTTTTCAGTGTGTAGTTCAATGTTGTGGGTGCCGCACACCGATTTTGCCAGAGACGTCCTCTTGTGCACTTCACTGATTACATGTTATAGCTCTAGCTAACTTCTTCGAAATCCTTGACATGTAAGCAAATGGGACCTATTTGTCTAGTCTCATAGTCATTCTAGCTGTTCCATCCAATTCCAGAACTCAGGGTCGCAAATTTCGTCCTTATTTATGCGGCTCACTTAGCCCTAGCATGATCGGAACCCGGAACAAAACTAGTAAAACTTGAAAAGTTACGCATAATACACTGGGCAAGTATTACGCGAGCAGGGATAGACCCAGCAGTTAAATGTATATTCTTGGGTTTGATTTACGAAAGGCAGTCACATTGATGGCCACAGTTTACTTTGAAGCAAAACCCGCGATTTTGTTCTGAAATGGTGAGTTTCACTTAGAAGCGAATGGTCCGGTTAAAATGGACACACCGCTGATTACTGTCCAGTTTCAACAAGAGCAGCATGGAATTCACTGTACTAAATTGTTAAGGCCAACGTGATACTTGGTTTCTGACACGAGTAAAAGGTTGTGTTAAGCATTGGGGTTAAATTTAGCATGATATTATAGTAGCACTAAAAAGCATGCATCAATCCACTTATTGCATTTTACTGAGGATTATGCAGGCGCGCTACTAGGTAACGCTGAGGCAAAAATGTGTCTTTTTAGTTGTGGTCCATTAGAGAAAATCTTTATAGAAGGATACCAATCACCAAATTTAATAGCGAAGTCAGTTGGCCCGAATCCATGTTGTTCTTCACGTATATGAATGCTATGACACCCAAGTTAAAAATTCAAATTTACTTGGATTTCTCGGTAAGTATTTTTAGGTATAAATCCATAAGAGAATTGATGAATATGCCTTAGTCTGAAGTGTTTTGCAAACATACTGGCGGAATTCGCAATCGTCGATGAGGTACAATGAAGCAATGTTTTTCTCTGGTATAAAAGCGAATGTTTGACATGTTTCCTAGGACGGTTAAGAAGTAAATAATAAAAATTAATATATTTGGTGCCAGTGAAATATCTTTGGAGTTACAAGGACTAACTAATGGACTTTGTGTACTCCTGTGCGAGTATTGCTTCCAAGCGTTTAGTATGGTTATGGTATTGTCCACTGTTTCTTGTGCACTAATGCCATCATAGGCTTGATTAAGTAGTGGAAATGTGTAGGGTTTATCATCAAGGCGATTTTTGGTAAAACGTTGTTGCAAGCAATGGAAGAAAGTCCCACGCATGCGACACGCGGAGTGATAAAACATTGCGTCAACATTCCAGTCGGCTGTATTCAGTGGTCAGCTTAAATCACTGACTCCTTAGGGATGTGCTTTGACTGAGTTTCAACAAAGAGTTGCAATTATTATTTGGGGTAATTATGATCTGATACAAAATTATCAGATCTCCCTGTAGACGTCCATAATAGCCGTTGTAAATTTTGTTATTTTTCAGTCTGTGTGTAGGAAAGATGGAAAAGTCCCCTGAAACGATTTGTCTCCCACGTTATGCATTAGCGATTGCGGTTAGGTGATTCTCCTGCTAAGATTACCACACTTGGTTAGCATATTCCACACGTGACATCACGTACGCGCTTAGCAATTCTGGAATGTTTGAGGCATCAACATTCTTGAAAGCTTTACGAAGAAGTCCAAATCACTGGTTTGCTTCCTTTGATGTCCGCTTGGACAAGCCTGCCATGATCGCAATCATGAGAAACCCGCAGAAAACTGGTGGTGCTAGGCAGTATTTGTAAGCACTCTGATGAATTACGCTTAGATGTTTGCACCTGATGCCGCTGAATGGCAACATGTTCTAGGCGGACCATTAGTACTCTTTGTCTAGGTCATCCTGTAGCTCTGCGTGATACAATATTGAAGCGATAGGGCAAAAGGTCTCTTTAGATCATCGAGATATTATACAGTTTGAATACAACACACTTGCGTGATCATATATGGAGATTAGGAACCGCTGCGGCCCGACTAACGAGCCCTGAGTTACGCCTTACAACCCTTCGACTGGTTTCAATAAGGTATTGTGAATTCTCACCTTCAGGAGATGTTGCACTAGAAAGTCGCTTTTCCAGCCCAGAACGGGATCACCAATACCATTATTCTGGAGTCTGTGCAGCTGTAACCTCTGGTCCTGGAGGTCAAATGCCCCTGAGAAATCTAGGATTAGTGCACCTACTCCTACAATGAGTATTCTATCCTGCTTGCACGAACTATCAACAGATAATTGGAGCAGGTCCACTTTTGGCGAATGCTGTGCTGTACGGGAACGAGAAATTTTTTACTCCCATAGGTTCTGTATGAGCGCCTTAGCTACAATAGATTCCGGGATCTTTGAGATCAAAAAGAGTAGTGTTATCTTGCAACGAGGTGCTGGTTCTGCACGGCTACCAATTTGTAGTTTGGAGGGATAATCCCGTGTTTCCGGAACTTGGGAACAAATAACACTTTGATTCACTAATGTAAGTATTTCTATCGTTTTAGTCAAACTAATGGTAGCAAATGTGAACGGTTCGAACAAATGCCATCCGCTCACTGTGAGCTGTATTAGCGAAAGGATAACGTCCATATTTGGACAGCTTCGGTTGTAAAAGATATGTAGTTAGGACTGATGGCAACATGAACTGCTTAGAAATGGTGTATCATGATTACACACTTTGGAAGGTATGGCAAGTTTTTGTCCAAGTTCTTTGGCAGAGCAGGCATTCCGCGCTTAATCCGGTGAAGTTTTGTTTCCATATCTTTATAGCAGGTTTTGGTTATAGCTATTTGTAAGCATAGGATATTTCTGGTTCTTTATCCTCTAGGACGAGTTTGACACCGTGGTTCCTTTTTGTGTAATACATACTTCTCAACTGTCCTCTCTCAAAGTGGCTATGTGGGCGAGTCAAGTCAATTCCTTGAATGACGTACATTTCTGAGCCCTGCCTGGTCGGACCGGATTCACATTGTTGGGTCGTTGGATTTAGATTTCATAGTTGATTACCAATAGTCTGTTGGATCTGTTGACGAATAAGCCGCAAGCTATCAGTTGCACTCATGCATTGAAGTCCACGTTGCAATGGTGATCTGTTTTCGGAAAGGTTATCTTGGCTAAATTTCGGAATAGAACTCGAAATATTTTAGCGTTTGTTAAACGCAATTGCAAGACCTTCGCTACGACAGCGGAACATAAGACAAAGAAAACATAGAAATACTTTCCTCAATCTTCTACCAATATTATCGGTCTCAGCAATATTGCAAGCACTTAAATCAATAAAAATAATGTTTTTGTTTAAGATATTGACAGCTATGTTGAAGGCGATGAAATTTTTACCCTTCTAAATCTTTGGGTTACCTCAGAGGCTACTGCATTTAGGTAATTTAGTGCTCCAGTTTTACGATTTGGCTCTGAATTAGCCAGAGCCTGAATTGTGTAGGAAACTGACTTAAGGATATCCTCAAATGAGTCAAGCAAATTTAGTTTCTACATTTGTTCGGTTATCTGTTTCTCTAAAGTATTTATTCTGGCTGACAGTGGATATATAAGATCGGCAACCCTAACTGAACTCTTAGTCATTGGTCTTTTTGACTGACATACCTGCTCTAATAGCCTAGACGGCACGGAATATATGTAACAGTACACAGGTTTCTAGGCACTCGTTGTGACCGCAATGGTATTGCTTACCTTGGTTACCCGGTTTTCCGCATTATTTATCCTTATTACACGAGTGTTAACGGCATTCATTTGTCTTGCAACTAGGATGATAAAAGCTATATAGTGTTCGCTATAGCTCAGCGTCAATTCTTGTGTAACAAAGGTCGATATGGTCGAGTGAAGCGCCGCTTGACACAAGTGTACAATAGAATGGACCCGACTTATCCATCACGCCGCGACTGTGGCGTTCACTTTGCAGTGTTAAGCTTGCAGACGGTCCTCCATGGCGTGTCAGTCGTATGTTCAGCGTGAACTTGAGGCAGTTACACGGGAATGTGCTTGGTTAGGCCTTTGGATGATGCCAGGTGAATCTGCTCCTGCAAGCAATGCTTGATTTGAACATTTGAGAGTTTGTTCCAAAGCCGTTGAAAGGTTCCATCGAGGGAGACCAAATTCACCGATGGGTGAGTTACAAAAGATTCGGCGCTTGGATATCAGCTAATCACATCCCGGAATATGTAATTCATGGTAAATATAGGATTCCCTGGAGTATAATCGAACAATGGTATCACAAGGTAGAGCATGTAAAAGCAATACGAATGTGTATACGTCCAAAGGCGTGTGATAAGATGTCTCTGATTCGCAGCTAAAAAGCCATTGGTGCACAAGTGAGCTAATAGCATGCAAGTTCGCTCAAGGTCAGGAATATCTGAGCGTTCTTTATAAAAACAGTGTTTTGCTAAACTTTAATAATGTAGTCTGTCAACTGGGCGACTAAAATATGCCCAAGCGGGCTTTCGTAATTGCTAGCCCAGCTTTTAGAAGTTCAGTTAAAGTGGTGGCGCGCTTCGTATATCCTAGATGCTAATGAAAAAACGCATGAGTTTGGAAGGTACGCCGAAATTAACAGTAATGAGCAGACAACCTGGAAGTCAGTGCTGGATGTTCAGGGTTGCGACTGCTCAGGAAATCTGGGGATAGGTTTCGTAGAATATATCAGCTATTTTTACACAAGGATATATATATGTATAAATTAAAGTAGCAGAGGCGCAATGTGGATTCTGGTTAAGTCGCGGTATCATAGAAATTGTCTTTTCTGTTCGACATCTACAGGAGAAATGCAAAGTTTTACACCAGCCGTTTTACTCACTGTTTGTTACCTTTACCAGGACATTTGATACAGTGCACCGTGAGGCACTCTGGCTGGTGTTGGGTAGATTTGGTTGTCTGATTGCATTTGCAATTTATTTTAATGTTTGCACATTC